GTCATATGGCGAAGAACTGTCCACTGATAGAATCTGGTGCCTGGTTTTGTTACTACTGCCAGGAAGTTATAGAGGCCACAAGGGTGACAGCTGTCCTAATGCCGGAGCCCAGGCGAACAAATTTAGAGGAAAAAGGTATACAAATAAAACCGTTAATAAAAATGTAAAGATAGAGTTATTAAATGCGCGAATATAAAAATGAGCTTGCAAACATTTCAATAGATGGTAAAGGAGATCTTTCGCTAATAACGAATGAAAAAGAAAAGAGAGTCATTAAATTAACAAATGTAATTGCAGCAAAAAAAAAGTATCCAAAAATTTAAGAAAGTTGGCTGATGCAGGGTTTAGTATTTATTTAGATGATAAAGTGTTTAAAGTTTACAATAAACTGACAAATAAAATAGTTTTTAAAGAAATTTACAGATGTAGAGCAGAAATTGTTACACATAGTGAGCTTCCTGAACAATCGCAAACAAACATTCAGAGCAATGAATTATCCATTTCGGAGGGAGAATTAGATGAGAAGGATAATGTTGGTTCTGCGATTGGGAGGGAGAATGAAGGAGAGCTCACAAATGTGAACGAAAATATAGAACACAACAATGCTAAACTCGATCAAGTCATTAAGTTAGAGGATATACAAACATTAGAGAATATAGAAGAAATGTGTGAAAGCTCAGTAATTGAAAAAGTAAAGAAACTAGAGAAAATAAATGAGGCGATGTTATGGCATGTTAGATTAGGTCATGCATCGTTAAACTATCTAAAACAATTACAAAAAGTAGAAAAGAGATTGGAGAATGTGAAGTTTGATAACTCCATATTAGAGTGTGAAGTATGTATAATGGCAAAGATGGCAAAACTGCCGTTTAAAGAAAACAGAATATATAGAATGAAGATGAATTGAGTCGATGTCTTATGGCATCATTACATAGAGAGCCCTTCACATATGAAGAAGCGATGACAGGCAGCGAAAGAGAAAACTGAAAAAATGCTGTAATAGAAGAACTTGAGTCTATGCAAACCAATCTAGTATGGACGCATGTTGATAAACCGACAGAGATGATAGATGGTAAACGAGCTAACATTTATAGATTCAAGATGGGTATTTAAGAGAAAATTAGAAGCAGATGGATCAACCAGATATAAAGCGAGACTGGTGATAAGAGGATGTAAAGACAAAAATGTGTATGATCTAAAAGAGACATATGCACCGGTTTCAAGACTGTCACTGGTTAGATCTATATTAGCAATAATAAATAAGTATAATTTATACGCTAGTCAGCTAGATGTTAAGACTGCGTTTTTAAATGGAGTTCTGGAAGAAAAAGATGAAATATATATGGAAATTCCAGAGGGAGTAGAAGTGGATAAAAACACCAAGAAGACTAAGGTGTGTAAATTGAATAGAGCTTTATACGGATTGAAGATAAGTCCGAAAAGATGGAATAAGAGATTTTCAGAAGAGGCTAAGAAACTTGGATTAGAGAACGACCTACATGAGCCATGCCTGTTCACGTGGAGGAAGGAAGGCAAAATAGTTCATGATCATATTACTTTATGTAGATGATATGTTGGTTGCAAGTAATGATCAGAAGAAATTAGAAGAAATCAAAAAGAAGTTGAGTGAAACATTTGAGACGAAGGATCTTGGGGAACCAAAGAACTTTCTGGGAATAACAATAGAGCGAAACAAAGAAGAAAGTTGTATGTAATCAGACGCGATATACTGAGAGCATATTAGAAAAGTTTCATATGAATGAATGCAAGCCTCAGAACACTCCTATGGTCACCAGAAAAGTGAGCAATAAAAAACAGAAAGAGTAAATTAGAAGAAAAGAGTATTAGAGAAGAAACTAAAAGAGTACCTCATAGAGAAGCTATAGGAAGCTTAATGTATCTGGCAAATGCTACACGACTTGATATAGCCTTTGCAGTAAACTATTTAGCAAGAAGACAATTAGAGCCCACGGAAGAAAACTGGCAAGATGTAAAAAGAGTCTTCAGATATCTTAGAGGAACTGCAAATAGAGGATTGATATTTAAAGGTAAAACAAATGAGTTAGAGTCGCTAACAGACGCTAGTTTCAGAGATTGCATTGATTCTACATCCACTGGAGGATATATAATCAAATTATTTGGAGATGTGATAGCATGGAGAAGTCATAAACAGACATATGTTACGCTCTCTACCTGTCAAGCAGAGTATCTGGCAATGAGTGAGGCCTGTCAAGAAGTAATTTCATTAGACAAGTCGCTCAGGTATGTTGTTGGAAGAACATTCTTGCCTGCAACAATCTGGTGTGATAATAGAGCAGCAGGAAACTGCACTAAGAAGGATGGAAGTCACAAACTTAAAATGTTTGATGACAACTTAGAAGAAATAAAGAAAAACTTAGAAGAGAGAGAAGAAACTGGAAACAGAAAACATATGGCTGACACTCATGGAGATTTTATCAAGCAGTGTGTTGATCAAGGGAAGGTGAAAGTCGAATGGGTTGAGACCAAAGAGAACTTGGCAGACATTATGACAAAACCTTTACCTTTAGAAGCATTTACATATCTAAGAGATAAGATAATGAATTTAGAGTTTGAACAAAATTAGAGATTAATTTTACTCGAGAACTAATTCTTGGTATGTTTCAGATAAAGAAGAAAATTAGAGGATAAGAGGAAGACCACGGATCGCTCGCACAAAGGGAGGGAGTATGAGGAGCTGAGCTTTGAACGAGCGATGTGCTCCCGCCCTTCGAGAGGGTAGCTCCGGTGTGGCGCGCGCCTCGGGGCGCCACGCGTACGTGCGGTCGTTCGGTCGTTGTGTGAACACTCAAGAGCCTCGATCACCGTCGTGTTCAGACGTGTTAGTTACGGTTTAAGTTACAGAGTGTGACATACTTATATATAATAAAGACAGTATTCAGAGTGTATAAAGATCAAGATTGTTGTGTACCCTGCTCATCTCACCACATTTCAAGTCGTCCCTGATTATATTTCCAATACTTATATATAATAAGACCATATTCTTTTACAATATAGTCCATATTCCAATAAACTAGATAATACTAGGACTCTACAATAAACATACGTATTTTGTTTCATTGTTATGTGTACCGCAATTAAAATTTGTTAAACTATTGAAAAGTATGATGATAATAGGTATATGAGAACAAAGCTGCGTTTATATGGCAATTTACATAATTTTGCTTTTATAAGTCTACATGGCCATATTTTTAAATTGGACATCTCTTCACATTCATGGTTATTAGCAATTACATGTATATTAAAGTTTCGTGAATGACAAGGTTCCGTGTATAGATCTGACGAATTACGCATTATTTCTTTTCCTATTAAATAGCTTTCATTCTCATATTGTATAAAATTATGTATTTGTGCACCAATCCCATTGTCTAATAACACACAATCATTTCTTGTATTATTAATATCTAAAAAATAATGTTTTGTTTTTAAAATAGAAAATTAGCGACAATTCTTGTGGCTGATGCCGTTTAGTAGTGGTCCATTGCAATGACGTTTTTTTAGTTGAATCTTATCAATATTTTCTAAAACCTCGTTGCCATTGCAACTGTTTCTATCAATTTCAGTTAATCTTCTTGCAATTTGTTGCAAAGGCTTATCACCTTTACGAATCAACTTTTTTATTTTAGATAGATAGTTTTCGAATCTAAATGCGCTAAAATCGTCTAACAGACCAAATTTTTCTACATCGTCAGCTAGATGCAATAAGTTATTATATCGTCGATTTGTCAACTCGAGACTCGGCACTCGGCGAGACACGAGACGCGATACCCGAAATGCGTGGCATCGTGGTATAGTCGGCAAGCCGGCAAGCCGGCCCGTGCAAAGCGGCAACGTCACAGCTCAAGAGAGACAGCAGATCGTATGTCTGCCCTTCTCTCCCCGCTCGAAGCTTGCCGAGGGCCTAGCGTACACGGACAGAGGAAAGGCTTGCGCGACTAGCATATCCCCTCCATCTGAGTAGTTCGGACACGAACCATAGCATGGATACGAACCCATGTAACGTTACCCGAGTCCTCTCTGATCGTTACCGAGCGTAACGCCGTAGTTGACGTCCACTTTCTCAGAGGGCAGATTAGGACAGACGTCCCCCGAAGCCGGATGGCCGCTCTCAGATTTCTCTCTGTATCCACATCCAAAAAGACCTCCAAATATTTAACTCAGACTAAATTGTCTATAAAACTGTAAAAAAATGTACTTATTAATAATATTAATATTCAAAGAGATCATACAATTTGAATCCATCTTCATTCTTCATACTTTATGATTCAGTAGCGTTTTTATAAATTCGAGTACCCTTTTTTCTTTATTAAAAATATTCTATTTTTTTTCCTTTACCATGTTATTTTTAATAATATCTGCTATATAAGTAGTTTCCAAAATGTTTTTCTAAACTAATATTTTATTATAGTTTAATATTGCAGGCCTAAATGTAAATGTATAAAGATTTTGGTAGATCCATATGTTAGTAGAATGAGATAAAATTTAAAAATTTAAAACTGTGTTTTCTTAAAAATGTGTTTGCCTAATTGTACATTTCATTTATTCAAGATATAAATATTGTATTTGATATAAGTATATAATCACGACAATAATTAGTTTGAACGCTAAATTACAATTACGCGTGCTACTTATGTCTTCCAAATTAAAATCTTATACAAAAATGAAAAAAAATGTGTGGAAAGAAAACTGGCCCAAAATGCGCGATAAACAAAAGCCCAAGGACCCTGTAGCGTATCAGAAGCAGATACGATGAAACGTGTTTGCCACGTGGAGTGGGGAAACTCGTTCGTCGCGGAGAAGAGAAGAAGAGGAGGGAAACTTGTTCGTCGAGCGGCAGAGTAGGGGAACCCGTTTTTTCGACGGGGTGGGGAAACGCGTCTGGCATGGCGGAGGGGGAAAGAACGTCGAGGGCGAGCGAAGTAAAGGGAAGGGCTGCCGGGCTGCGGGCTGCGGCGCATGAAGCGGCTCGAAGCGAACGAAGAGAGCAGGTCCGTGACTCCGTGGCCGCGCTGAGGCATTGACGCAGATCTCGGCTTGGTTCACGCCGGTTCACGCGGAAAGAGAGAACGCGAACTCTCCACAACGGACGCAGAAGCGAGGCGTGCACGCACGCGCCGCTGACCGTGTGCGTTCTGCCTCTTCGGAGGGTACAGTTCGAATTTCGAAAAACAAATAAAAAGAGGAAAAACTTCCGCGGCGAACTGTGCGCGAGTGTATACGATAACGAGAGAGAGAGAGAGAAATTTCGGAGTGTGCATTTGGTTTATTTTTCTGGTGGATTTTTCTGGTGATTCTCACACGGTGCCACGGTGGTTCCACGATACCGATCGAAGAGAGTCGCCCCGCTCCGGTTTTCGGATAACTCGCACACGCACATACAACGGAGGAAGGTGTGTATTTACCGCATGTGTAACCGCGTGTTAGCCGACGAACTGTACCACGCCGACGACGATCGCGGGCCGGTTATCAGCTATCGGCTCGCGTATTCATACCCCGGCCGATCGATCGTTCTCCAGGTCAAGCTAAACTCGCTCGTCCGCGCGGACGAAGTGCGCCCGTGGAATCCAAAATTGCGAAATCGGCGAACGGGCGACCGGAACGAGTTTCGACCGCGAGAGCCGGTAGCTGTACGAGCCGCCGCTATACCTTTGCTTCTACCTGCCGAGAAAAATCATGATGGATCCGCGGGATCGGGATCTAATCGAAATCCAATTAGGAAACCGGTTTGACGAAATGTCACGTGATTCTGTTTATTACTCCGGAACACATGCGACTTGTAGGAAAAGCGAATATAATTAATTGTAAGACGAAGGATTGCTCGGTAATTTCTAAAGCAACTGATGAGGGGTATTTAGGTCGCGACACTTCGTGATAGCGGGTTATCGCCGATTAGCCATTAATTGATTGCGACGTGTTGTTTATTGCATATAGAAAACTTAAACTTTGTTCCTGATCTATATTGGTATTGCGATAGTGACTGCTTTTCAATTATACATATATATGGAGGGGTAAAAACAACAGTGGTGTAAGTCAAATTTTTAAAAATATTTTCTCGTGTGCATAGATGGAATTTATATATTGTATACAGATTGCATCTATGTACGCGAGAAAATATTTTTAAAAATTTGACTTACATCACTGTGGTTTTTACCCCTCCATATATACATATACATATACATTGTATATATAATCCCTACTTGCAAAATTTTAATAAATATAAACAAACTCAAGAAGACATTGATTATAAACTGAATTAATTATAATTCGTTATTTAGTATCTGAAGTATCTTTTACATTATTCAATTATCTTTTAAAAGAGAATAAAATTTTCGTATATCCAAAAATATGTAATTATAAATATATCTGTTGTTTAAAGGATCATATCACTGTTGGCATGAATATCTGACACAACGAAAAATATAAAATCATTGCTCGAATCGAGCAACAATCATTTGCAAACACTTTTCAGCGGTATAATTGGCTGAAGCATAAAATCCACGGCGATTTTCCGTGACAAATGTTGCGGTGATGTTAACGGAATGATCATCAGGACAATCCGTCGTGATCTGAACCAGCCACGTAACGTGACGTTTAACAATTTTCTGCGCCCAATTGATCGATTTGGTATAGACGTCTCGCTTATTTCACGTTCGAATCAGCGCGTAGAACATAACATTTCAATAATCCACGAAATATTCTGGAATTCAATTCGAGAATTTCTCAAGTACGTATACTGGAACTATACTTCTTTCCTGCGGCCAAAGAATTTCCTGGAAGCGTATTCTATATAAATCGCCCTTTGACATAATAACCTTCCGATACCTTGCGAAATTTCATTTGATTTCTAAAGAGCGTATGCAAGAACACGAGTTTCCTTTTTATTTAGTCACGTTCAAATTTTTCTCCACTTGCAACGTATTCTGTCGTTACGGACCGTGAACATATAAATTACGACGGTATATTGTAGAAATATTTTAATAAATCCTTCGTTGCATTAACCTAAAAAAAAAAAAAATTGTACCGCGTGACTCGCAGTTCGAAATTATTCAGTTCATAATTATTCATAATTGTGCAAATGCTCTTCTTTTCGCGCATTAAAATTAATTATAGATTGCAATTATAACAGGGAGCAATGCTATCTTATGACTTAGAGATAAAAACAAAAAATTACCTTGTTATTTATTATATTGAGTTACAAGATGTTTGACATTTCTTTTTCAGTCCACACGTCACATTTAGACAGACATGACATGCTTTTAAACTGCTCGTAGATATTGATATCATCTTTTCAATTATCGAGGAAATTGATCGCAGGTAAATAAAGAATAAAATATCCGGTGAACATTTCTGGAAAAAGGAAGAATACTTGTCGCCTCGGCTAGACGATATCTCTTACAGGCGCGACGAACCGGACACGGTGTGGAATCTAGAAAAAAAGTATACCGGTCCGCGAGTTTTCCTTTTCCTCGCCTCGAACGAGTTCTCTCGGCGGCGATTATAACGGGTGCGGATCTCGGCTTAGGTGTACGTGAAATTAGAGCGGTACTTCGATCCTTCCACAAACGGTATTCGCGTCGGTATCAACCTCCGGTGCACGTTCCACGAGGAACAATGAGTGATGCAATCGCGAATCGCAGATACTCCGCCAGGAGGAGAAAGAGTCATGTAACGAAACCGCGCACCTGCGTAACAAGTGATTCATAGGTTCGTAGAAAGAGGAGAGGAGTGAAGAGGGAGGGGGAGAGAGAGAGACAGTTAATGAACTATTGTATCCTCTCGACTCTTCCGAGTAAAGATCGGGCGTAGTATTGGCAAGAATTTTTTGCCAAGGAGAACTGTCAGATATATTGAGTTTGATTACAGAGGAATGTTAAAAAGCGATTTGTCTTGCTGCTTGTGTGCGATGAGATAAGATTAGTTAGCCAAATTTACAGGAGCAATCTGTCACGCGATGTAATAGAGTATATATATATATCTGTGACTCGAAAACAAATTGAGAGAACGTATCGTAATATTTGAGAGTTCAAGTCACGACGGACTCGCGACTTCAGGCTTGTACTTGAAACGTGAGCTTGAACGTGAGCTTGAAATTCGAGACTTTAAAACTTGCAGGCTAAAATTTTAGAAAAACCGAGGGTCGAGACTTGAGCGAGAATAAAGAGTCACGAGGGTTGAAAGTTGAATATTAAAACCTGATAGCTATAAGTTAGATGTTAGAATATCGAGATCGACAGTTAAGAAACGAGAGTTGAAAGTCGAGACTCGAGAGCTGTGAGTACCACGCGTGTTCACGGGTGGGATTTGTAGTTATATTGCATTTAAACGTTGCTAGACGGTTCTAACAGATCCCTCCGGGGGGTGCTTCTCCGCGCTTTATAATAAAATACGGTATTATACCGTAACTCTTTCTCAATGGATCTTTTTTCGCCAGTCGACGCGGCGCGGCGTTTCCGCGCGCGCGCGCGCGATGCTGTAACTCTGTGAGAGGCGGAAGCTGTGTGCGTGCGGTAGCGTGCGTACTACCGCGAGCCGGGGAGTAGTACGCACAACACGTGTGTGTGCATACGCTCGCGCGCGCGCGCGCGTAACCGCATGCCTGTGTTCTGTGAAGTTGCTGGACCGCTCTAGGAGCCTGTACTCGCGCGTCTCCCCCTCCCGCCGGATCCGGAGTCGAACCCGGAGGGATCCTTGAGACCTATACGGGGGCCCCGAGACGGCGGCGGTCGACTCGGGTTACGCGGTCTTCAAGGCCCACGATCGACCCGACCACCGCCTTCCGTCAATCGACGATTGGCGCGGGGTCCCCGCACGAGGGGCAAAAAAAAACTTTCGTGAACCGCGGCCTGTCTCGAATAGTTTCCAAGGAGAAATTTTGCGGCAATGCGCTCGAATAGTCAACCGGCTTTCCGACGCACCGCTTTCGCGCGTGCAATAGCTCAGGGTGCGTTCTATAGTTGCAAATTACGCTTTGGATTACTTCGGTCATTGAATTTTACGTCGCTGAACCATAAAGCCCATAAAATTAGACGTTTGATTTTATGGCTTACGACCATTACGTTTATGTTCCAAGTTTTATGTACACGTACCGGTTGGTACATATATGTAAACGCAAATTTCAATATTTGCAGTTACGATTTTCAGGTACTCTACAATTAGATATTTTTTTTTTTTTAAACCGAATTATATTCTCTTCTCGTGCTCACTTTCACATTCCGCGCATATCGAGGATAGTGGCTGTAGTGCCATTCCTGTAAGTTTGCACGCTTAGCTAGAAGTAAAATTGTTGATAAACATACCGAGAGAGACAGGTATCAACGGTATTAGTTTTCTTATGTCAGATTCCAGACGCCAGAAAGGTCAAGCAAGCTATCGAGACTACTTTCAACGCGCGCGTTGCAAACCATCGAGTTATCACTACTGTTCCTATACTCTTTCCATCCTGTCGAAATCGTTATTATATAACAACGTGTCGCGCGATCACCGAGAATTCCGCGTTCGAATTTTAATTCGGGCGGAATTAAAATTCTGCCTCACTCTATTTCGTTACGAAACTGTTATAAGGAATGGTATATAATATTTGCATCTACGTCTCGTATAGGTACTCCCTGTTAGTAATGACAATAACTCGTTGCCGGCAAACACGGAAGATTGAACCAACAGTTTAATTACGGCACTACCAACGGCGCGATTAATTGATCAACGGTACGGATCAAGTTCATCGACATAAAATAAAGCTATGATTACATAATGGAATAATTCCGGATAGTCCGCGACCATTCAACATGACTCGTGATCGAAGGGGATACCTGACGGCGCGCGACACAGAATTCCGAGGGATTCGAAAGCGACCGTAGTTCCATTAGACGTGCTGCACATTCCAAGAGGCACGATAAACTCGCGACCTCGCGAAACGACCATCGATCTCATCGAAACCCGCGCGAGGTTTCCAGGCATCGCCGGGAATTCAAGCGGCTCGTCGATTTTCACAATCGCTCTCGCGCGCGATTAGGCAACCCAGGTGTTGCTTGCACATTCGAGGCCTCGAGGATTTTATTCCTCCGCGTTGGAAAGCGATATCCAAAGAAAAACGTTCAGGCTCGACATTGGGAATTTTATGCAGCCCGGCTCGTATAATTAATTGTATTATGCAGCGCGAAGACGCGATCTAACGATCTGACGATCGATTTTGATTGTTTCAAGTACAACGGTGCACAATTAAGAACGGTTACTACTTTCCAATTAATTTCCCATGCGCGTTAATTAATACGGCTTCCTACCGCGAACGAGAACACGTGAACTAAGAAACTTGGCGTATAATTTACGAGCGCTCACATGTGGCAGGTATTTAATAATAAATTATATACACGCGAATGCTTTCACCTCTTTGGCA